GGCTCATGACAGAAATGGAAAGACAAACGATAAGAAAATGATGGATTAACAGAAAAAACTCAGCGCCGAAACGAAAAACGAAATATGTGGCACCATAACCTCCCCCTCACAAAAAAATTAATATAACGATGAACACATAAGCGATTTCGTATACTTCCTTGCTTTGGACTATTGCTAGTGCTTTGTTTGTTTCCATGTTGGATACTCGAACCAAGCACATATTTTAATTGACACAATTTCCCATTTTCGCTAAGCATTTGTAACCGCCAACCTTAAATGAAAATGAATGGATAATAAATTTGTTGAATTGCAAAGTTGACTCAAATTGCCATTCTGTGGTTGTGTTATAGTTAATTTTTGCTGTTCTATGGGTAGACATTTTCTCATTTGTGTGTGTGTGTGTGCACAATTTATCTGTATTTGCATGTGCACTTCGTTTGGTTTATTTTGTTTCTGTCGAAAACGTTGCTACTCATTTTCCATTATCTGAAATTCGGGCCTAGAATTGTCTAAATCGATATTTGAATCCAAACATCAAACATCAAGCATTTATAGATTCAATATGTTATCGGCCAAAGTATTTTTGGCTTATTAGAGACGATATTGTTATTTTTGGTAACCATTTTCCATAACAATTAAATGAGCTTTATTTGCACATCCGAGATTTATTGCCACCGTTTCCTCTCTTTGCTACGTTTCTGGCTCTCTATCTATTCGTTTCAATTGGTTTCTCATGCGGCATGAGATACACTTTTCACCGCTTTTTTTTTCTTATTCGTTCGCTATTATTCAGTACATATCTACATATATACAGTGACGTCACTACCGCGTTATCAACATTTGACTAGGCGTGCGCTCTCTCTCTCTCTTTCATTCTCTTTCATTCTCTGCATTTTCCCCACTGATGCCGGAATTTATTTATTTTTTGTTTATTTTACGGTGTGTCCCGATTTTTCAAACAAAGTTCGAAAATTTTATGCAAAAAGCAAAATCTTGTTCGATGTGAAATTGCAAACAGTATATCTGCCCAAAAATCAGAATCAATTATGTCGTATCATGTGTCGTATTAAAAATAACAACAAACAATGCACATTTGTTCTATATACGAATAGAATCGCATATACGGTTTAGCGATTTCGCCTTCTCTCACTCTATCTGATGCAATGTTGTTTGCTTATTCGATAGATTCATTTGCTTAATTTATTTGTTCGTTTATATCATCGGTTCGGTGTGTCTCTTTTTTTTATTCATTATTTCATATAATGTTGTGTTAATTGTGACAAAAATCTGCGATTCGGTCGCATGATCTGTCTCTCGATAGCGATGGTAATACGTATGTAATACATACTATGTATACGATACAATTCAATTGTTATGAGAGCAGAAAGGAATCCGTGTCGCGTAGCACACTATTTAAATAGGTTACCCGTACATATACGTATTTGATTGAATGTATAAAAAGACAACTGCTGACTACAATTAATATTGAATGTGCCATATTTTTACAGCTCTTTTTTTACACGAATCAAACCAATGTTACAATAGAAAAATGCCGCTAAAGGGCACCAAACATTTTCTCCGTTCGTTTCCCGATTTTCTTCTCTTCAGTTCGCGTGACTTAAAAATTAATTTCAGAATTGTGTCATAAATAAGAGAAATGCTGTTCTAGTTACGCTTCGGAGATATAAAACCACCGTAATAATTGATACAATTTTTTTTTTTGAAAAGAATGTCATAATTTTCTTGTCGTCATACTTTCACGCCGCTCAAATGTCGTTTCATCGACGATAAATGGACATATTTCATTTGTCGATTTTTCGTTATACGTCATTCAATTTAATCTGTGATTAGAATAAAAATCCAGTTGTTCACGAAAAATTAGTTCCAGTGCGTTGGAGAGATGTGACAACAGTTTGGAGTGATTGAAACGGTAGCCAATGTTCGTATCATATATATATTTTTTTCTCATCGCCAACGTAAATGTGACGTATACTGCGTGTATTGAAACATTGAGCAAAATATAACAACAGCATCAGCATCATCACAACACAAAATAAATAATAGAATTTTTTGCCAAATGCTTGGTAACAATTACACGCTCTTTTTCCGTCAGTTCAGCGCAACCGAATATTTGCTTACGCATCAAAGTTAATTTGTTGTTTCCTCGTTTTTTTTTGTTTCGCTCCCAATATCTAGTTTTCATACAACGTGTACATTTTTGTTTCATCTTTCTCTCTCTCTCTCTCTCTCTCTCTCTCTCCCCCTTTCTCTTTCGATGAGATTTTCAGTTTGAAATTACTCCTTGTGTGAAATGCGTGTATTTATTCTGATTATCAAAAAACGCACACATGACTGAGTTCGTCTGGTGTACGGAGTGGCGAAACATTTTTAGAGTGTACAACACAGAGAGAAAATTCAAAGAAAAATCAATTCATGTCAAATACAATCAGATAAACAATTTTACTCGTATTTTTTAGCGACTGTGGAAATATGAAGAGTAACACATGTTTCATGTGAACAGCACAAAATTCCATTGTTTCTATCTCGAATTTGTTTTCTTTTTCTCTCCTCATTTTTGTTTCATGTGACAATCAATTCGCGTTCAGTTTGACGCTTTTCACCACATTACATAAGTGTCTTACAGTTCTTTTACAATATTTATACTATTTGCGGCTCTCTGCACGCAACTCAATTTACATTCGTGTGCGACATGAACTGAACAGAAAAAAGAGTATCTGACATCTAATGACTAATACTCGGCTTTAAAACTTGTAATATTATTTCAATATATTTAATTCAAATGGAAGGTACATTTTGACACAATGCAATTGACAACAATAAAAAAAACGGTGTATTTTTTTTCAACATTCAAGTTTGTGTTTTGTGAATACATTTTTTTATAAAAATCAAACACAAACATTGGCGCATTAGACACGTTTTTTGTGTGCCTTTTAATATCTTTTTTTTTCTCAATTGCAATACCAATGGAAGTCATGATCAAAGTCATTGTAGTATCAAAACAAAAAGTAAAACATAATGAGAGCGAGAGAGTGAGAGATTTCGAATGATGTGAAAATGGAATATAAATCGTTCAGTTGTACAGTTGTATCACATAACAATGCCATTCAGGCGAATCACTTGGCTGAAAGTTTTCACCTTAATTAATAGAACAGAGAGCTCTTTGTTTGCCACCTCCTCGACCTTATATGGGGACAGAAAAAAAAAGACAAAAACAAAAATACGCGTCAATATTAAGTGATAACTGTCAAGAGAGCTTTCTTTTACAAACAAAATGCCGTCGGCAAGCAAATGAAATACATGATTTCGCTTAATTACATAAATGATCCGGTGTATTTAAAACAGACTATGTTTTTACACATTTAATTGAAGATTTGCCATTTCATCTTTGGATATATAATTTAATTGGTCAAAGAAATTCTCGAAAGTCGTTTGGATTTTATTAAACAAAGCTCGATTGACATTGAATGGTGAAATGTATGGGCAAAGCTTATAACACTCGCGCCAACACACGTTTGATGTCGCATCCAATTAATAAAAATCGAAGCCATCGCGTGTTCAAAACAAACAAATAATAATAATAATAAAAACAAAACAAAACACAGAAATAGATTTGTGTGCGTTCTGTGCACACAAACAGTTATAAAACCAATACAAAATATGTTCACACTGATTGTTTGCTAAAAATATTGAACGCAATTGGATTGATGCCACTTAAAAAGTTTTCGTACAGTCTGTTCCACTTGTATTCTTAATGATATCAATTGGTTGCGGCTATTTTCATGCAACGATGAATAAAGATGCTCATTGTTATAGATGATAGTGGAATAAGACACAGACAGAAAAAAACCCGACAACAATATGATCTCAAAATCCAAATAATAACAAGACTGTAAAAATAAATCACAAAGGATATTTGGTCGTGTGTGTGTGTGTGTTTTTAAGTTTTTTATTCGCTTTTTTATCACATTTTATCGCAACAAAATTCAACACGAAAAAGTATGCGATAAAAAAAGATGAAATTCTAATGTAAAACAACACATTGAAACGAAGTTCGCATACTTTTCTGTGTGTGAACAAATTTATGCATATGTGTCCGATGAAGTGGAAAAAGATGCAGACAAAGAAATGCTCACAATGTTCCAAACAGCATCGACAAAGATACACACACACACACACACACACATGGGGGATAACAAAAGAATGATTGGAATGAGTGCAAGAAGTAGCACGATTTGTGAAGAGCTAAAGGCAATACACGACCAATATAATAATATAGATAGTGTGTGAATGCCGTAGAGCGATAGAATATAAAAAAACAGCAATGTTTGAAATTCTTTAACTGACTCAACATAGAACTATTGAGGATGAAAAACTTGTTTAGTTCAATAACATTTACTCGCTAATAACATTTACTCGCAACCTTAACGTACCGCTATAATGTATAACGACGCCAAATAGCTTAGCAGCATTTGTTAACTGTGATGACAGTTGTGGTGGCAATGGCTGCTTCGATGGTGGCTTTGATGTTGATGCCTGAGTGGATTCTAGCCATTCAATCAAGAATAAACAGCAATAACGATGATCGAACAATGTAATTATACAATAGAAATAGAGAAATATCGATTCGAAAAATAAATCCGATGACGTTATGTGCGAATAGACAATGGTCACTTTTATGCTAGCTTTTATGTATTATTGTCTTTTGTGAGTGGTACGAGTTCGTATTTTTGAAATGATAAAGATTCGATTTGTTTCATGGACTTTGAGGATGAGACCATTGAGCAAACGCCAATCAAATTAATAGATTAAATTATGAGAGATTCATTATTGAATCCAATATTAACTCTAATCCGATTTTATTTTGTCATTAAGAATCAATTTGAAGAAAGTATCCACGATTTTCGTAATTAAACTAATCGTTATGTTATTTGTTTTATTTATCTCATTTTCTTTCTCTCTCTTTTTTTTCATCTTTGCAGGAAGTTGGAAGTATTATCGGTAAAAAAGGAGAAATCGTTAATCGGTTCCGCGAAGAGGTAAGTCGATAATATTTTATACTTAAATGAGAGATTTTCTTCATCTCGACTTGATTTAAAATTGACGTTCTGCTCTTGATGGCGTTCATTGGCCAATATACACATCATTAATTAACGTGTACACTTCGACATGATGCGACAGAAAAGAAGATAAACGGAAAGAATAAGAGATGGAGCAAAACACGATCAGAGGTCATATTAATTTTAAAAATATCTATTTAATCACTTGCTGATCACATTTCGTGGCATGGTTGAATTACGCTATGAGCACGATGGCAAACGGTATTCGGTTGGTGGTTGTGCACGATGCGAATAGCGAACAATTTTATCGGTATCGATGGTGGATAAAAAATGCTTCGAAAAGCTTAGCAAATTTAAACTTTAATTAAAATGAGACACCAAATACAATCATCAATTTGAATGGAACAAATGAAAAGAGGAATGTTGCATAATACTCAGTCGTTTGGTCGCTCTGTTGATATGGCAAAACATACACCATGAATAAGTTATTTATGAGCGGTTATAAATGATAATAAATTGCTTTGCTAAACCGCCCGAATCGAAGTGGTTGCAAATATTTAGATTGATTTTGATAATTTTTCAATTTCAATTTAACATTATTCAACGTATTGATTGTGGCTAAAGATTCATTATGTTACCTATTCATTTAATCAACTCTAATGGATATTCCAATTAAAATTTACTTAACTTCCCATATTTAAATCTGATCAGCTTAGCTGACTGAGTGTTAGAATACATTTTAAATGCAAGTAAATGTATACGAAGCGACGACAGCGAGACATATAGCGACAGAGAGCGGCAGAGATGGTGAGGGGATAGCAATCAATAACAAAATGAAAGAGAGTGAGATGGAAAATATGGATTCAGATTGGCAGTCACCGAATCCATTACAATTTATGGTCCAAACCATTATTTTTATCTATTCGAAATGTGGGAGTGTGTGTTTGATTATTTGCATGTACATCGGGTACATCGTGTACATCGTGTACATCGTGATGCACATCCATTCATTCAGCTTTCAAAAGTCAGTCGATTTTCACTGGTGACATCAGTTTCAGATGTGACATTGTTTTCGTTTTAATTGAAATTGATTTAATTAAATGTTGGTTATTCATATCATTGTGTGAATAATATCGTGGCGTGAATGAATCTATTTTTTTCTGTTTTGTAGAAAAAACGAGCAAAAATCAAATCAAATAAACAAAATAAACGGAAAGCAAATGGAGCAAAAAATAAATGTTCAAGATGAAGATAAATAAATGAACACAAATAAAGAACTGCTCTATTCAGTGAAACATGAATATCATGGAATGACCGCGGCTTATATTAAATAATCGATATGTATCGCATTGAAATGATGCATCGAATCATTAAAGAATATCATTTTTCAAGCATCAGCACAGTAGCACACGAACAAAAGAGTCAAAGCAAAATTAACGAATCACGTAAATTGTGATGGAAATATGTCATTTACACACATGTCCGCTGTATGAAAATGTTTGTATGTAATATTTATCACAAAAGCACCACTCATGCTCAATCAAAAGTTCAATATTTGTTACAATTCATATCTAGGGGCATTTTAGTATATGCGAATGTAAAAATATGACTTTTCATATGCGCCATCCGCAAAATGTGTATGAAACATTCGACACCGTCCGCAAATTTGTATGAAACATTCGCGACCATTCGTTTCCATTTGCAAAATATATATGAAAAATTCTTTCGCATATGGAACATTCGTATAAGTCGGAACCCCCTAGATTCATATGGTTTTTTTAAATTTAATATATATATTTTTTGTGACATACATTGCACACGTCCATGTGAAAATTATTATTTTATCGCAGAATGTAATTTTCCATAATTCAGCTTCATCCATTCATAATGACTTTCATAAGATCCATGAAATTCGGTTGATTTGAACGTCTGTGTTTTCCTCTTATTCAAATCACTATTTGCACATTTTCTGAGTGAAAGAGTTGCACAAAACTTAGTTTGTTTAACTTGAAGTCATCAGAAAAACAGATACGCCGCCAGCCATGTTGAGTTGTGTAAATTATGATTCTTCCGACTAAAACAGAGGTAAATGAAGAAGACACTTTGACTTTTATCATATTATAATGGTAAATGCATTGCAAATTGAACAACCTGTTTTCCACGAAATATGACTAGTTACACGATGGGTTCGAAGTGACTTTAAAACAATGTTAATATTGATACGTTTTGCACACAAATACCCTTAGAGAAAATATAACCAAAATGTTTCGATTTGCCGAGCACCAATGTCGAATCATTCGATGCCATTCATCATCGTCACTACACGCACATACAAATGGAGAAAGCATATTTGATCCGTTTTTAGTTTACGTGCTTTGTAACAAAACATAACCCGCACACGAATTGGACTCCATTGAATAAGCAATATTATAAATATTTTACGATAACAATGTTGTTGTTGTGCATGTAAACATAAATTATTGAAAAGTTTTGCGTACATAAAATTGTCTTTCACATTTATTAATACATGCACTAGACTGAGTTAGAATAAAAATGGGATTCGTCATAGCTTCTGACCAGAGGTCCAATTACCAGCCCGTCCGCCCCGAGGAGAGTGGACTTGTATTTATCCTATTACAAATTGAGAAGGAATTGCAAAGATATTTTAGTTGTTTTGAAAGTGTCACTTTTGTTAGATACGAAATTTACATTAGATATAATGTGATTTTGGAAATAAGGATCGAAAACTTAAGAGATACCATCTAACTTATTTCTCAAATTGCTTCTTGATAAAAAAAAAATTATAAAGCCGTAACTTCAATAAAATTTGATCATTCCCTCAATTCTTAATCAGAAAATAACTTGAGACATATGTTTCGAAAGTGTGTTATCGACAAATTTCACTTTTATTCGTACATATGTATTATTATATATTGCAGTTTGTAAGCAACATATAAATTGCGTGAACAAAATACATGTGACTGCAAAATTGTGAATAGTATATTACATGCACATGCACACATCATATGCTAGTAAGTTAAAGTATGAAAAAAAGTTGGAAATTCGTTTTGGATTTTATGGCAAATAAAAGGGGATCACCAAGTGAATAGATAGAGAAGCAAGTGACAGTAAAACGAGAGCCGCCGCCCTTTGCTACAAAGTGCAATTTCAAGCAAAACCAAAAAAAATATATATAAATGAATGACGATGGATGGCCCCTCAGATTATTAGGTCATTTGTGGATTTATGATCATGTCGAGGTACAATTACAATTTTCTCTCGCAATGCTATATTTATTTCGACACAAACTCCCCAATAAGCCATTGAATCCAACTTGGTTTGTAAGAAAGATTTTATGTTTGCCGAGCATATTTGCCACTGATTAAGTCATTCATGTAGCCATAATACTTTGTTGTAAAACATTATTGATAACAAGTTGGATGATATGAGAATTCTTGTGGATTGTGTGTGTGCTGCGATAGAATTCGATAAAAATTGTGTACCACTAAATTTGGCTTAACATTTTCGATTTTCCGATGCGCTCATATTTGTACGAGAGAATATTGCATTTATTTTCAATGGTTTTACGCTACGCACATGCACATTGTTTCGGTTCGAATTGTTTAATACATTTTAAATAATTTTGTAACATTGTTGTGCACACCAGCAAACAGTCGATAAATTATTTGGGTTGTATTGTAAAATTCCTGGTTTGTTGTTGTGTGTAAATGATTGCAAACGCTTGCAAATCTTGTCCTAGCTGTACAACCATTGCAAGTTTGTAATACGATGTGGATATGCTGATATTTACTAAATGCGAACGCTTCTCTCATTCTCATTTGCCGCAGCACATTTCTGTCGGCTGCCCGTGTCCATCGGACCGACTTCAATTGATTGCAATAAATGGGGCAGAATTTAATTTTTGTTCAATTCATGAACATCTAACCCACGTGTAATTTCTGTTTTTCCAAATAGAAATTCAGTTTCGGTACGAAACACAAGTCAAAAGCACAAATAAATGCATTATTTATGCTTGTTAGCAAAATATCACACAGTTATAATAATAATCCATCCATGAATTCGGTTCGTTTGTTGTTCATTTCAATGTTGTAAAATCGAAGCAGGATAAACGAAATGATTACAAGTACACGCACACCGATACACGGTGAGTGTGTGTGTGTGTGTGTGTGTGTGTGTGTGCACATGTGCCACGATCAAATTACATTGTAACAATCAGACATCTATTATTGCATGAACACAATGAATGGTTTGCGGTGGCTACGAATATAACCGACTCAAACAATTGAATCGAAAAACAATCTGCAGAAATGTGGAAAATTCATGAAACTTTGATATGATAGAAAAAAAAAACATAAATATTTTGAATTTAACATTTCACGAACGTTTCGTTTATCTGGAGCTTATATTTTCCATTTCGAACATTGTTAAGACTATTTTTTTCACCTTTAGACATAAAGTTTGACTTCAGTTTTTTGGCTATGAAACAATTTTTGAACGAATATGGTTTCACACGTCCAGAGTTCGGGTTAAAATGATTTTTTTTTGTCATTTTGTGCAAAACCATTTCGATAGGTAATCTTGCCTGAAAAATGACTTGCTGTAATTCTCAACCTTCTCTACACCCCACAATCACCCACAATGATTAATTTAACCAAATGAATGAAGAAGTAAGCAAAAAAGTTAGAGTATGAGATTGTCTCTAACACATTGTCGACCGTCGACAATTCAACTTATCAAAAAGCTTAAAAAACACTGTTGTCTCGGTAAAATTCTGTCAACTTATTATAATCTCTGTGACATAGCAGATCGATTGAATGAAAGATGAAAATGTAAAGTGATGTACAATTATTGTTCTATCGCACATTCCCATAAAGAACCCTAGTTAAAACCCATTTCGAAATTGTATTTGTGTTGACGAGAACATCAATTAATTTTGTGTCATATTGAATGTGACATATTGAATGTCAGCTACAGTATTTTTGGATGAAAAAAAAATGAATGTTTCCATGCATTTTAAGTTGACATCATTCACTATTTATAATTCTATTCATTTTGAGTTAACTGCGATTTCATAACTAGAGCAGTCGCAATGAGAAAATTTTCAATGTTACTACAAACGGTTCCAATAGGGTTTGCCGACGAAGAAAAAATAAATCTGAAGAACAGACCCAATAAAGAATTTATGTTACGTGCCAAAATCAAAGCCAACGAGAGAATGTAGGACCAAATGTGTACTACACTTACAACAGCATAAATGACCTGAAAAATCAAATACACAGGAATCTAGAGAGAGCGTGCGTGATTCTTCGTGTCACTAGTTTCATACGCAATAACCGATTTCTGCCAGAAAATCGAAATTATTCATTGAACAGAATAAGTTACAGGTAAAATGGAGCACACAGTTTTTTTGGTTCGGCCACGAATTTACCAATATAGATGTAAGTATTCATCATAATTTGATGGCAACTGGCAACCATATCAACTATATATAGAGACGACTGCGACAGCGGCAATGTAGACACAGTATGTTGTCACAAAGCCATTGAATTTGGTTGCCAAACGATAATGCGTATAATTGTCCGTTATTGTAAATATAATTGAATATTTACACATTAATAAATGCTATGCTCGAATTTTGTGTTAATACTTTATGCAGCACACGGTGCTAAAAACGCCTTTAAAATGCTCCTTACTATCGCAACGGTCGGTTTATTCGTTAGCTCTTCGCTGTCCGACCTTATGTGCTCTATGTGGTGCGTACATTTATGTTGCTTGGAAAACAGCAAACTCACCGTACGCTTATGCATGTGGGCGAGTCAACGTTTATCCATAAATATTTAATCATATCTTTATTGTAATTTTCAATAAATGACACACTTTAATGAAATATACTGGAGGCAATCCGAATATAATCAATATATGTATAATGAAGTTGCAACCTTAAAAAAACTTAACTTATTGTTAAGAGCACATTCGGAAAGTACATTCAAGGTATCGGCCAATGTCATTGATGACAGAAACGTTAGTTTGATCAGTTTTGAGTTTGACTTGTGAAAAACAATTTTTTTTCCTAATCCAAATATGTTTCATTTATTTTCAGTCTGGTGCAAAGATTAACATATCGGATGGATCATGTCCGGAGCGAATAGTTACAGTTTCCGGATCAACAAATGCAATTTTTAAGGCATTCTCACTAATTACAAAAAAATTCGAAGAGGTAAACATTGAAACCCACAACGAATTCCTATGCTTATTTTTTTGTTCGAAAGTTTCATTTTTTTCAACAAAATTATTTCTTCAATCAAAACATTTGACATTATGGTTAAAAGAGACAATTGTTGATTGTGAAGAGCATATTTATTTATTTATTTTTTAAATAAATTCAATATACGATTTTTTTAAATTGAAATAACCATTCTAAAATTAATTTTATCCAATTCAAAAATATTTCTAATTTTTAATTCGTTCTATATATCATTTTATTGTTTGAGGTGGTTTTTTTGATTTCAATATGATATCATGGCTGAAACGAGAGAAAAAAATCGTTTAATTTAATTTGCGTTTGTTTTTGCAGTGGTGTTCGCAATTCAATGATAATACAACAACCGGTGGCAAAACTCAAGTACCCATACGATTAATCGTGCCAGCTAGCCAGTGCGGATCACTAATTGGTAAATAGTTGTGTTGTGTTTACTATTATACGGCGATTAAAATGATACTCATAATTGAGAATATTGAATTTCGTGAAATATTGAATTCCAAATATCAATTACACAGTTAGTAACTTCTCCCTCCCATCCACCAAACTATAATCTCTTACATATTTGTTTCACACTTTGAACTTTTTATCGGATATGAAATCAATAACATCATATTATTTCCAACCATTTCAACATCGTTTTTACGATAAATGAACGACGCACACAATTATTACATATCTTTGAAATATCCAAACAAAGCTACTGTAATAAACGTTGCATTTTAGTTAGAATTTTATCATTACAAAAATATCGGGGGTTTCAATAATGACAAAAAAAAAACAGAAAATATTATTACGATTATTTCGAATGAAAATACACTGTTCATTGAAGCGAAGAACGTATACATAATATTTCAGTTCTACCTGAAACCAGAAGAGCACAAAATAATAAACACATTTTGGGGAGGGAAAAAACATGGCCCCTGTAATCGAAAACGATATGCATTGATACAGATATTGTTGTTGTGGTCAAAGGTCCCTACAATATTCAATGTCCCATATTTGATGCATTTGAAATGAATGTGTGCGCAACAAGCCGTATTGAATTTTGGTTGGGTGGAGAGAAAAAAAGTGACTCAACAGTAAACAACGGCTATTCAACGCATTGTTTTTGGTAAAAAGCACGCGGACATTCATTTTGAAGTGTTTATTGTAAACATGACTTTATTTAGTTTGGTCTTTTCATTGTGGGAATGTTGCGATGAAGTCACACAAATATACGAATACATCAATAATTGAACTGAAAACGCAGCAATAATAATTGAAAAATAAAACCTGAACATGAAAAGGCAACACATCATTTCAAATAGATACACATAGTTGGATAAATGAAATGTATATGTGGTAAAAGGTATTTTTCACCTTTCCTATGTTAGCCATCACAACCAATTTCTTCAGTTCAGCATATCAAGTGAAATATCATCGAGTCATCGAGTCATCGAGTGTCGTTTATTAAATTATTAAAGTGTAATTAAAATCGATTTTTTCTCGCAAATGGTCTCATCTCAGTGTAATGACAGAGATCCATATATACCAACCGTGATGGCAACATGCGTTGATCAACCATTATTATGGAATAAAATCCGTTGTGTAAGAGTTGTGAAAATGTAGCCCATTCAATATCAATGTTGAAAATTCAATAATGCCAATATACAAAGCTCACTGTGTACTGTGACCTGCTCACACATCCCGAAGGAAAACAATTGTTTTTAATTTATATATGCATTACACGCACATGATCAATCCTCAGATGCGGTTCGATGTAAGCATAAATTTTAATTTCTCATTGCGAGGTTACACTGAATCTCAACCCGTGAGATCAAATTTTTCAATTAAATTTCCCTTTTCAGCAGCATACTTCTGTGCTATTGTGATTCAATAATCAAATTGATTTTAATTCAATTAATTTAATTTTATGGCTTTTCAGAATAATCGAACTAAAACTAGTCGAACAATTTTATAATGAGTCTAATATTGATAATAATTTCTGTATTTTTTGTTATTTGTTCTGCCATTGTAGTCTTTCATTGTTTGTGTCATATCTTTTTCTTTCTCTTGTCTTTTCGTTTGGTGTCACTTTAGGTAAAGGAGGTTCGAAAATAAAGGAAATCCGAGAGAGTACCGGCTGTTCAATTCAAGTTGCAAGTGATATGTTGCCAAATTCAACTGAACGTGAGGTGAAACTGACTGGAACTGCTGAACAAATTACACAGTGCATCTTTCACATATGCTGTGTCATGCTTGAGGTAATTTTCAAATTGCCATCATTTTTCTTCGTACGTTGTACTTTTTTTATCAAGTGATTTTGTGTTCGATGGTTGTCATTATGATGTAAAAAAAACACACACTCGTACTCGGACGATGTGTTTGTGGTAACTGGACATAAATGTGAATTGGGTCATCGAGCCCATTGTATTGGATTATAATTACAACTGTGTGTTGATAATCTACGGATTTCAACAATGGCTTTGTGATGGGGTCAGCTTGAATTGCTATCAAATAGGAGTCTAGGTAAAAAAATATCGCTTTAAACACAGGCAAGTGACAACGCGAGTACGAACAAAAAATATGAAACTAAATCGTCAACTAGCGCAAAAATAACGCTGACCAACGATCGACTTAGAAAAAGCAGTATGATGAAAGCTTCATCATAATTTGGTTTGCTCAATTTTTCGTTCTTGTTTCCTTTTTTTACCTTTGTTCAAAGTATAAAACGGCGAATCCGTGTATGATGAAAACGAGCCAAGATCAGGAAAATACTGGAGTTTCATTAATGTTCTCTCTCTCTCTCTCTCTCTCTCTCTTTATGACTCCTTTGTCATTGAAAGAGGGCCAACAATGGAGAAAGTATATTCGAAATAAATTCAAAAACTTTACAAATACACACATTCCTTCTCTATCACACACATACATAAACAAGCATATGCACGTACGACGTATGTACACAGAGAGAGAGAGACACACACAATGAATGGCAACGAAAGGAAGAAAAAATGAGAAAACTTTAACTTTTGCTTAATATAACACAATTCCGAAGTCAAACGACTTAAGCTATGTGCACTGAAAGTGTAAACGTAAAAAAAATACTCGAAAAGAGTTGAAAGAGGAAAAGTTGTATGTTTTGTAATGTTATGGAATAATTTAATTTGTTCAGATTGGAAGTAAAAACGAAAGATGACACAGCGCAAGAAAGTACGAAAGAAAAAAGTGCATCGCCATGGAAATTGAGTTGAAGTTTTTCAAGTCGTTCGTGCTTTTTTTTTATCATCATTTATCGTACTACATTTTTAAGAAGCCACAATATACACCAACCAGCACATTCATTTGCAGATATTTAAAACCTTTTATAAGATCATTAAATTATGTGTGTATGCAATTGTGATTGTCTTCGTTACATTGTTTGCGGTGAAATATGAATGGGAAAATTGAACACAAATCTTTGCAAATGGCATGCAATAAAATTGAATTTTTCCAGCACATGCTCGCACTTTTTGTACGAAATTGAATTATTAAAAAAAACATATTTTATTTCATTTTTCTTGTGATATACAGTCGCCACCAAAAGGTGCAACAATCCCATATCGCCCAAAGCCACAGATCAATGCGCCCGTTTTATTAGCCAATGGACAAGCATACACAATACAAGGAAGTTATGTTCCAGCACAGGAGGTTTGTATGGTTTGCATATTTCATCGAATTAAGCCAATGACAAACTATTCTATATTTTTTTTATTATATAAATTCTATTCTCTATATACTCTTAATTCTTCACAATTTAAATGAATTTTTTTCTCTCAATGAATTAATCTCTATGAACACAAATGATAACAATGTTTAAATGTCTGTTTTTCTTTTGACAAAATCTTTCGGAATTCAAAATGATTTTTCTGTTATGTTCTTCTCGGTTTGTCGATATTTCTATCTCTTTTTCTCTATTTCTCTCTCTGTATCTCTCTGTTGCTCTTGATTCCTTTGTCTTATTCACACACATACACACTAAAACACTCACACATAAAAACACAATCATACATGTGTCTTTTGAGCACACCTTTTTTTGATAAACGCACATGCACATCACCAAGTCATCAAATCAAATAGCAACACATCGATTTCGCACCTTCACAACACATGAAAGATAAACCATTTCACTGAAAGTTCTGGAAAATTGCATTCGGTTTCTGGTTGCAATGTAAAACGATGATAAATATATGCAAGGGATTTTGAATGAAAAATTTGATGAATTGTTGAATTTGTGTGCTATACATGTGTGAGGAGGTAGACATACGAATACGGAGAACGACAACGGAAAAGTCATTGATCAAATTCCATAACGTATTCCTATTTCGATACGTATTAAGATTTCAACTTTACTTCTATTTCTTATATTATCCATTTCACCTATTCTTTGGATAGCAAATCTGTTGTTTTTTTGTTTCGATAAGCTTTAATCTGATTTGAAAAACATTTCTACTTATTAAAAAAAAAAACAAATAAATAAAACTAGCTATCTTACTCAATATATCTCTAATATATCGATTGCTATTTCGTCAATTAACAAAAATAAACTGACATAATTGAGTATTTCTCATTGTAATTTGTTTTATGATTTTTTTTTATTGTTTAAAACTTGTATCGCCTAAATTTTGCTTGAGCTCATTGATTCTAAATGACCAAACCGTAGAGAAGAAAAATATACACAATTTGATATTAAAAAAAAAAAACATTTTTAATGTGAAAATCACATTTTTTATCTTAAACATTTTCTTTAATTGATGGAACAACTGACTAAATTGAATTTTGTTTTGTTTGCCTCGTTCTTATTTCTTTTTTACATATTTTCTGAATGACAATGAAAACCAAAAAAAAAAAAAACAAAAAAAAAACACTGTATAAAACGGGCCCGAAAATGACATGAACGCGCATTCATTCAATGAAACGAATTTTTTTAAATAAATCTGTAAATGTATAACAATAACACAAATACACACCCAAACACGCACAGACCTGTACGGTATTTCCACTTGCGTTGGCCGGTGGTCTTCATGCAGGAATCTCAGGTTTAGCAGACCCACTTCTAAAAGGAACACATTTGTCGGCTGCAATGCCGCCACATCATCTGCAGCAAATACCCGATGTGAGTTGATATACGTTTTGATTGGTGCTGCCCTCCCTTTCACCACCACCTCACACATACACCAAGTTTCCTCCAATATTTTCCATTTTCTTTCTAAACAAAAAATACAGCCAATAACAGCCAAAAATCACATTCGTTTTTATGAAACAAAAACCAAACAACAACAACAAAATTACTATATAAATGCCATCCACCAAAATGCCACACATCACATGCTTCACAACCACTCAATTGTTCTGTTATTATTACCTCCAAATCGATTTCCATTTTCAGCTGTGTTATCAATAAAGCAACAATTACAAAAATAATAATAACTACAATAAAACTAGCCTCAACAACCAATCGAATCCAAAACTGCAACCGTAGACACACTGTTTCCAACTGGAAACATATCCAATCACTTTTCACACCATTTTACTTAATTTCTTCCTATATCTCTTATGTACACATTCGCCAATTTACTCTATACATTTATCTGTCAATCTGTAAATCTCTCTGTCACACACTATTGCTCTTTGTGTGTTTGCTATTTGTCAACTGCTCTCATTTAATGATCTTTTTTTTGTTCAACCGAAATGTTAAATATAATACCATGGCATACGGTTCTGCTCTCCATTCCTGCCTCCCTGCCTTCAAAATCAATTCATTTTTTCACAATTAAGTTTCAACCTCCAGCCTCCAAACCTGATACATCCACATCTAACCAAGCATTAACATACAATTTTGTCGAACTATTCTAATTTTTCCGTTGGTTTGATCATTATCGTGCTTTTGAATTTTATTTTCGTATTGAACATTTGAACATGTTTTAAAATGACCCTGTCCATACCATATACATACATACAATCTATACACAAATAAAATAAAAAAATACCAAAAAACACAGTAAAGGAAATCACTTTTGCTCCTTTTTCCAAACAAACAAACAAACAAACAACATCAACAACAAAAAAATATACTTCCCATGTTCAATTAATGATGTGATAGTGTTTACATTTTTTTATTAATGTAATTAACTCAACTTTTTGCTAATTAAATTCGAAATCGTATTTATTTATCTTCTTTTTTTGCTCATTTTGTGTGCATTTGTTTTGCAAAATTAATTTATTTATTCATTTTTTTTGTTGAAATTCTGTGGAATTCGTCGTTATTCTAATAGGATTTTAGTACGTTGCACCATTTCAAATTAATTTGAATATCACAGTATTAGTCATAATTAGATATTTATGTTGTGCATTTTAGTTTTATTTAAATGGCATTTTTAAATGTTGGTAAATGTTTGTTTTGTAAGAGCATTATGCAACCAAAAAATATATATACAATATATATAACAAAAAACAACACACATACAAACCGTCTTTTAAATATTTGAATATTTGTACATTAAAAGCAAATTGGTTTGCAAAAATCACGTATTATATGATCAAATGCAGCAGATATGATTCGGCAAACTATCTTTTAAAAATGGACGGAAAGAATACAATTTCTTTTTTGATTTATTCATTCGTTTATTGCATACGCGAACCAATTTGAGCTGCATCCGACCGCGCATATCTATAATGTTAATTTTAGTTTAGGTGAATTGAAGAAACACAAAAAAAGTCAAACAAATTAAATTCGCGTTGACTAATTGGTGCAAGCAGGAAAAGTAGTTTGCGTGAAATTTATATATGAAAGCATCGGCATCAAAACTAAATTTAGAGTGAAGATGGTTTCGTTCATAGCCGAATTTGTGGGCAGCACCATAAAGCTACTGCAGATTGATGACGTAGATTTCGGTCACTTTACGCATATTGCTTCATATAAGCGAAGCTGTATAAATCAGTTTTCGACTTGCATTCTGACGTGTTGTTTTTTCGTTTGTTTTTCATTTTCCCTTTGGTAAATGTTTTTTTGATTTTAGTTGTTGTGTGTGTGTTTTTTGTTTGTTTTGTCTTTCGTTTTGTTTTAAATATGTCAAATATGCAATTGTAAATTGGCTTCCTTGTAAATAACATTTGCAACTTAGTTTTATCTAATAAGTTTCACTGATATAAAAATATAAAAACCTTTTTTCCGAACGTAATATCCTGTCACTTTGTCACACACTGTATGCTACTTATGGAAAACTCCATTTAATTTTGACATCAAACTGGATTGATCTAATCTCTGTCTATTTTCTCTGTTTTGTCCTCTTTTTTTGTTTCGTTTTTCTGTTCATTTACTTTGATAAACGTGATATATGTGAGAGCAGATGAGCGGTTTGACTAAAAATCCATTGGCCGGTTTGGCAGCATTGGGATTGGCTGGAATGGCACCATCGAATACTGGCGGATTGAATCCAACTGGTGAGTGAATGATGCAAATTTATCATCAAACTGGTTTCTTTTTTTTTATGTTTGTTTGTTTCATTCTGTAATACAAAAGCATTCAATGGTGTTTGAATTAAAATTTTAATTACGTTATTGCGCGTGCATGTGTGTGCGTGCGCCATACATTTTCTATTTTCAATGAATATAGCATTGGCTGCATTGGCCGGTTCTCAATTACGTACAAGCAATCAGAATCGCAATCAACAGCAAACAAATCGACAACAACATGAAATGACTGTGCCGAATGATTTAATTGGCTGTATCATTGGCAAAGGTGGTACTAAAATTGCTGAAATTCGCCAAATCTCCGGTGCCATGATTCGCATTTCAAATTGTGAAGAACGCGAAGGCGGCAACACCGATCGTACTATCACAATCAGCGGCAATCCAGACTCGGTGGCTGTTGCCCAATACTTGATTAACATGAGGTAAGTGCACCATACATCAATTATGCTCAACATTTTCATTTTTTCTTCAAAGTAAGAAAACAAACAATAAATATGAAATACCGAGCAATCATTTTTAACATCATATTCGCGATAACTATGGGATAAATTGGAACATATTCTATGCCTTAAACAATATCTATCGAACCAAATTGATAATAATAAAAGGGATACATTTGAGCTTGATTTGAAAAAAAAAAATGGCGAATGCCAAACAACAGGATATGAAGTTCATTTGCATTTTTATCCGGCGTATTAAAGGTCTCTGTCTGACTATCTTAATCATTTTTCTTTTATTTTTATATACTCTTTACATCCTTATTCTTTCGTCATGTGATGAATTGACTTTACCTTTTCCCATTCAAAATTCTGATTTACTGTAGAAAAACTCGTTTCTGTGATTTAACGACACTGCATAGCATCGAAATTTTATCAATAAAACTGCAATCAATCCATTTTTTTTTAAACAAAAATCCCCGCCTATACCTTTCAACACACGAGAAATCATATAAAATGATTTCTCATACTTATTTGATAATTCATTTAAAAATTGCCTTCCCACAAATTTATATGTTTAATTTACAATATGACATTCATTCCTTTTCTCATGTCTTTAAAACAACGTCTCATTTCAACGGAGATGTAAAAATAACCAAAGGTACCAGAAGATTATAAGATTCTTAATCCTAACGACAATCCCTTTCCATTTTGTTGTTGGTATTCAATGTTGCGACATCAATCGATTCGATAAATTTTGTATTGCTGTATCGCTCTGTCGCTCCCATTCTACTGCAATTGTAATCTGTTGTCAAGCCACAAAATACAATAAAAAAATGTTGGCCAACGTTTATTGTTATGTTACTGTCATTCAGTAAAGTGTGGTATCTGTCTACCGGGCTTATAGCTGTTATAACATTTCCATGCTTGTAAATTAAAGTAAACCTTTATTTAATATGATTATAGTTTTTATATGGTAAAACCTGTCTTAAAAATAAGACTAAATATAGAAAAGACCATGTGAATCTCCTTAACCACCTGCAAATCGATATTTGTCCAACCAATTAACTCCCTTGAAAATGCGATGAAATCCAGTAAAATTCCCCGTAACTGAACACTGGATTTTACAAAATATCTATATGAAGATTAGCTGTCTTTTGTGGAATGTACGTTTGAGATTTATTTTGTGTCGGCTTGACGATAAGACGGTTTGTGGAGTAAATTTATACCTTTTTAGTGATTTGGCATCCCGATACCATTCTTACATCAGTGAAATCAAATGAATTTCGATGTACATTCCCATCACAGACACATACATACCAAATATTTCCAAAACTATATCCAAATAAATCCCAATTTCTAAATAGCTGTAATGAAACCTGATCCAAATTGAAAACGAAACATTTTTCAAAAAAAAAAAAAAAAAAAAAAAAAAAAAAATTGTTAATCATATGCACCAGATTTTCAATTCCACCAACGATCCACCAAAACTAATCCAAAAAAAAATCCTATCCTTACAGCGTCGAACTCCAGAAAGCAAATCTACAAGCTAATGATCAGACAACTCCAAATACAAATGGTGGTAATCCAACAACATCAACAACATCGCCATCTTCATCATCATCATGTTCATCCACCACAACCAATACCACCAACACCATCACTACCAACACCTTAAATAATCCTTTGGCATCCGCAATTCCATTGGCCCAATTATTGACGAAACCGGGCGCATTAAACGCGCTCCAAAGTTTGACAGCGTTGAGCAGCCTAACTGATATACTCGGCGGCTTGGCCAATTTATCGGCCGGTCCGCCCATACAAACGACCGGCGTTCATAGAGGCAAGCATCTTGCGTCACGCGTTCGAACCACCAATACCGCAAATGTGGAGAAAAAAGCCGACCGAAACAAATTTAATCCATACTAAAACAAGAAAAAACGATCTAGAAACATGAACATTTAAACAAAACGAATAGAATAATAATAAAGGGAAAGAAACAGAAAAATACGCGAAGGAACGTAATATAAAAGTCATGCAAAACAAACGACAGATTTATAGGATACACTTTCAGAACTGAATGATTTTTCTCATTTTTGCTCACGTTGTTTGTGATTGTTTCAAAAAAATAAAAAAATTATTTCGTATCATATGCATATTTTGGTTGAAATGCGCAAGCACAGCAGAAATTTAATTGATTTTTGCATATTTTTTTTTCGTATGATTTTGTAGAAACTGAAATCAGTGCGAATGCACGCACGCCGATATAGAGAGAGAGAAGTATTGATTTCAATATGATTGGAACGTGGATAAATTCAATTCACAAGAGATTAATTGGTAATTCTCAAAATTTCTAATGGCAACGCTGCCACAGCTATGTTAAATATTGTTTCGGTAATATTGAGCTAAGTGTTTTGTGTACATCGAATGCAAAAATCAATACTTCAAGTAACAATTCATTTATTTCCCATTATATATTGTGAGAATATTTGGATTTAGTCTTATTCAATTAAACAGTTTCTTTAAAGTAATTTGAATTAATTTATATATTTCAAACATAATTATAAAGTTTCACATTTTTAACGAGAAACACTTTGATAAATTGCAAGTGAATTTGGTTTTTTTACAACAATTATACCTAATTGGATAGCTTAATATACGAACAAAACCAATAACATAATCAATATTTTGCCTATGTATATACATGAAATATCGAATAGAATTATGCGCTTTTTTTTTCAAAACATCACAAACAATTTAGACTGAACACGTGAAAAGCCCATATGCTCAGTTTAGTCAATATATTTTTAATTGAGGGATTGACAACCACAAGATAGAAATATTGCAATTTTATTTTTTTATTGTTTTTTTTTTTTAATTTCATTTGGTAATTTGACATTGTAAATCATGTTCTAAAAGTGTTATATTTTCAATGCTTCGTCACTACCTATTTATTGGATCGAAAAAACAATAGAAAAAATGCAAATATTGACCAAATTCTAGGCCAAACTATGAAAAGCAGACTTTTTTGTAGCTTTAAGTTCGAAGAGAAACGTAACACTCAGTTAAATAATTCAAAGCAAAACTTCAGAGTATGAAAACAATTCAATCGATTTTATGTTCTTCATCCTAAAAATAAGATATAAAGCAGTAGAAAATGTGTCTTTTTGACGGAAAGAAGTATTGATTTTAAACATAAACAATAAGTTTGCCACCATTCTAGAATTTTGAGAATGAAAATTCATTTTTTTTTTTAAATTAAAATACGACCTTTTTAAAAATAGAGGAAATGAAATTATTGCAATGTGGTATTTTCCACTGTGAACACAAAAGTTGAAAACATATTGAACAATTTTTAATGTAAACAACATATTATATTTCCAGGTTATTATTTTTTCTTAAGTAAGTGATGAATTACACTGATTGATTTTAGCGTATTTTGATCAAAGCAATGAAACGACAACAACAATAACATATATTTTTACTGTCAAAATTTTGATGTCAAATGGTGTCGACATTGGTGACGGTATTTTGAAACAGACTGTGTAATCCATATTCATCGTATATGATCCTATGTAAAGTTCTATACTTGATCTAGTTCACATTGACAGTTCAAATCGTTCATGGACTGTGTGTTTCTTCTGTTACATGTACGTTGTAATGGACAAGTATAGTAACATGGCGTCGTTCAAATAAATTTAAAAATCCGTCCACTCGTGTCGACACCATCTAGCACGGTAGTAGGGATTTCATTGCTGTGATTTTGATCGTTTATTGTGTGTTCTCTTTCTTTTTCTCACAATTAATTGCAATGACCAACATATAGTCGATCACGTCGTTCGCATATGAAAAAGATAAGAATTATCTATTCTCTGTGACATAAGACGTTTTTTCATTCAACAAAAAAAACGTCTTTTTTTTCATTATAATGTGAATTTAAAAAACGCAAATGTAATATTTTAAAATTATTTTCTAGTGATTTCGAGTTGAAAAAAAAATGTTCCAATATCTCAAAAACGGACATTTTTCATTTTGCGAATTGTTATAATTCACTATATCAGTCATATTTCAGTACAAATATCTTCTGAAATGCCTATTCTATTGGGGTGAATTTAACTGGATGCCTATAAAATGTAGCCCAAGCGGTTACTTCCCCGCACAGTGCCAATAGACCTTTCTATCATAGAGGAGGCTAGGTACACGGCACAAACCATACCGCCAGATACACGCATTTGGGCGACACTTCTGATCAGATATGAACTAAGCGTTTCTAGTTGACAATCATCGTTGGTTACAGTCGAACAAACCTATATGCGTGGGGGCAATATGAGGCTACCAAAACATAAAGAAAAAAACAAATTGTTGATATTTAATTATTGAACTCTGTTTTTATTTTAAATTTGAATGAAACCTTTGAATCACCGATTAAATTTTTTTTTGTCCAATTAAAATGACGCATAACAACAAAATCCTTTGAAAACAATGGCAACTTATGCAATCAAAGTTAAATTGTGAAATGAAGGTGTTACTTGAAAATTGCTTCTGCATTCAAATGCATTCGAATGTGGTCAATCTCAATTTCATCAAAAGTGATTGAACCCTTGTCAAAAGGAAGAAAGAAAGAGTTATAATTACGATTTATTTGCTTGAGGTCTGCATAGTTCAAAGGAATGAAAAAAAAAAACTCGTTATTTATTTTCCAAATATTATATTTTCGAATCTCATTGGTTTGCATACTTGTGTGTTCCTTTTTGTGTCACACCAAAGCCCTGCGGTTCAACCGAGCCGTCTCTCGGACAGTTATGAAATTGTTAATTAAATTTTGATCGAGCTTTGGGCCACTATATGCCGCACATTTGTTTGTTAAATGCTTTATTATGTGTGCAGATTGAATTTGAAATAAAATGGATAGAGAAAATGATGACAAACACCGTAATTGAGTCTTTGCAATAAAATGTGATTAAATGTGACAAGGCAAACACTTTGAATTAAAAACATTTAAATGAAATGAAAGAAGTACAGATGAATTGATTTTCACATTTTTAAATAATCGGAGACAATAAATTACAATGGCGAATACATTTTCAAATGAAATTTTTTTACCTTGGCAGAGATTGAACAAAGCAAAACAATTGACAAGAAATGAAGCGAATGCGAGGAACAAACGCAAAAGAACATAAGAATTTTGAAGAAAAAAAAAATTAATCATTAGGGTCGTATGGTAAGGATCGTTTTTTGATCGTTAAACATTTGTTTTGTGGTCGTCAGATATTAAGACATTTGTGGTAGGAGATCTCACTTTTAAAGTCTGCAGGAGCAATACACATATTGTATTTGCACATAGATGATAAGAGTTGACATACAAATAAAGTTAATTAAAAAAATGGCCAAAAAAACGAACAAAAAAAAAATGAAAGCAAAAAAGCAGTAAAAATTGCACACACACACACACTCAAGAAGAGAAAAGATTGTTTCTAATTTGTAATATTTACACATGTAGACAAAAAAAAAATGTTAATGGCATAAATGAAGGTCTCGTTGGATATTTCCGTTGTTTGTTTTTGTTCAGTGTAAAAACGAAACTGAACAATAAACAATCGAATTAAAACCAATTATAATGATATAAAAATGGTACACAGTAACAGAATGAAAAAGTCAGTTCAATATTCAAGCTGATACAAGACGTAGTATTTTTTATACGGTTTTGTAATTTAACGTAGATTATTTTCTTCACTTTGTTTCCAACGAATAGTGTTACACATACACGAATCGGTTTCTAAAACGTATTTGCAGTAAATAAATAACACATGAAATAGACATTCATACACACGAATACAACCATTTGACATTTGCTAAAGCACAACATTTATAAATCGCCGTGTGAATACAAGTATTTTACAGTTGACATTTCTTTGAATGGACAACCACAATGTTCAGTCTTTAAAATTGAACAAACAGAAAAAAAACTATGAAACTCATTGGAATAACAAAATATGATATATTGAGCTGTATTTGTTTAGTATTTAGGTAGAATGTAATCAAATTCAAATCATTTCAACGGAAAACGGATAAATGCTACCACATATGGCATCATAAGCGATTATAACAACAAAATCTCATGAATACAATAAATTAATAGAATTTAATATGAAACTTTTACAAATGATTACAGGTTTTAAAGAAAAAAAATCCTTAGCGAATGTAGATGAAAAAACACACATTTTTCCCTTAGAAATTGGTACAAAAAAAATACGAGCACATCTAGATTTGGCAAATTGTTTATTCATGTCTCTTTTGTTTTTGTTACATAAGGTATAAGCATTAAGCACACATATTATATTAGAGAGATAGATAGGTGATTTTGATGAAACTTCAATAAAGAGACAGAAACATGGACAAACCATGGATGTAAGGCATTATTTTAGCTTTTCGATTTATGTTCTCATTATCATGTAAACAACAATTGAATAATGTCGAAATGCTCTTCATATATAAAATATTCACACACACACACTCATGTCATAGCCGTGAAGATATTACACAACCAATCGGATACCAAACATTTGATATTTCCGAGTATTTGGTAAAATCGGCTATTTAGTGTCACATTAAATTCGATGATTTGCTGTTGTGCACCATCTATGAATTATTTAGTCTTTAGCTGATAGCCGCTGATGCTATTCAGTCATCATTTTATTCGTATTGTATTCTGAATTATTACGATTATTATTATCATCATTATTATTATACATTATAAATTATATGAATAAACGTGAATAAGTACCAATTAGATGCTGGAATATTAGGCCAACAACAGCAACAAAAAAAATGATCACACTTTGGTTATTATAAGATTATTGATTATATAATATAAAACAAAAATGAAATGAAAAAAAAACAAAAGTATTCACAATTGTTTGACCACCAAAGCATTTGATTTATACAAAAATTCAACTATATACAAACAAATAAAGGTGTAGAACGTATAAGAAGAAACAAACAAAAATAAAAAAAAACCAACGTGTTTTGCTGTTTATGTTGCGTTATTTTTAGTGTGGAATTATGGAGATGCATTGATTTGGTCGTTCAAAATGAAAATCAACATTGCGGTTGGATCATCGGAACGTGCGCTCATTATACAAGGAGTAAGTGTTGTGTAATGCGAATGATTGCGGTTGCAGTTCAACGAAAACAAACAAACACATCGATTCTCACCCAATCCTTCCTAAAATTTTTAAATGATATACCCTTGATACTTTTGTCCACCAAATACAATCAACTCTATCCAAACAAACTTTTGATTTAAAAAAAAGTAATCTTTTGTTTTATGAGACACGTACAGGAGCAAAAAAATAAAAACGGTATCCGCCACCTGAATTTAACGAAATAATCATTTTTTGAATTTATTCAAACATTTTCCGCTCATCATTTCATCTCTTTTTTTAATTTTTCATATATTCATACCTTTATTTATAAAAAAAAATTAAACAATATTTCGGGCTAAGAAAAAAAGTCGCCATCCTCAATGATGGCTTAATGTTTGGAAAAACACTCAAAAAAAATGAATTATGTATTTTAAGTAACTGTTTTGTAATTTATGTTCATCAAATCACGACTAACGTTGAACATTTTTGTTTCTCTTTTCTTTTCTGGTTTTTATCGTTTCAGAATTTCGATGGAAACCGCTGGACTTCCAATACCTGGATATCACTACATTGCACCGAATCACATAGTTAAAGCTCCAATTCATTGAATGATAAACACACATATCAATTTCAGTGATAGATGAACAAAAAACAAACACAAGTAACACTTATTGTTTAGCTACATATGCAACGCTACCAACCACCAGCAAACATTTGTTTCAGCAATTTTATTTATTTTTTGTCTTTATCAAACTCTTAGTATATTTGCCTTTCCAACTTTGATTCAATTTTTGTTCACCTATTTGGTGCATTGTTTGATTAAAATAATAATAATAATATATATGTAAATCAGTTCTGTCACAAATGATTGTGTGAAAATCTTAATACTCATACTTTTGCGCATATTTACATTCAATTCAAACTTGTTCGTTTCTTTATCAATTTTTATATATATACAAAAGATAATTTATTTGAAATTCATACGTAATAATATTGTGTGCGCGTCATTTTCGCGGTCGGCTCAAATACGAATTTAAACCAAAAGAAATTGCTGATTACTAAATGATTAGTTGGTATGATTGATATAAATAATATTTAATCGTAAACCGTTTGTGAATGTGAAGAGAATTATTCTGTGACTCATAAATTATTATCAACACAATTCAATGTTAATACAATTGGAAATTTTGTGATGTGATTTCCCACATTTCATTTTAATCGGATGGAAGGATGTGATTGTGTGTGTGTGTGTGAGATTTGCAAATTTAATAAATCACACATACACACACTATCAACATGAAACATATGCATAGAGTTTAAAAATAACAAACACAGGTAAACACACCATCATAATTGTTGTGATAATACATATGTTTAAAGCGATTTAATCGAGCTGAACAAATAAAATAAACTGAAAAATGATTTTTGATCGAAAGAAAATTTAGAAAATAGTTTTAAAGTCACGTGAAGAGTAGGTGAAAAACAAACCGATACTACGATACGAAGTAAGAGAAAATGAAACGAAGAATGTTGTTACGGCAATATCTCTTTATGTTTACTGTTTTAACTACAAGACGCGTATCGTTGGTTTTTATTTTATCAATCATAGAAAAATTGATGTGTTGTGTTTATTCTCATTAAAAGAAATAACAAATGACTTGCATGTTGCGTTTTGTTCAATATTTTTTTGCAAAGCATATCTTCATAATTAAAACAAAGACACAAATGAGCTGATAACTTTTTCTCAACTGAGAGGGGAAAGATGTTACTTATCTCAGTCATAAGATTCTTGACATGGCAATGTGTATATATAGTCGACAATCTTATTTATATCTCAAGTTATTCTGATCAAATATTTAACAAATAAATGAACAAACAAATGAAGAATACAAACAATCTACACAACAAAACACGGAAACGGCTCATGTGTGCTTTAAATTCTTTCGGGCATTTGGAATGTTTGAATGAAAGAAGGAAAAAAAAACTAAAATACTAAAAAAAAAGTAATAGTCAATCAGTGCAATAGCAAACATTGTCGACACCTTATCATTTATCGACTATTAATTTTTCCGTTTCCATTCACACAATCGGTTAATGATCAATTTCCATTTTTCTGTCAATATCTCAACAGCTCTCGATAATTTTTATTTCTGTGGTTTTCAACCGAAGAATTCATATTGATCAATTATTAAAATTGATGACAACTTACGTGACCACACACTTGCCGCCACACACAGACACACACTTAACCAAATTGAATAACATTTGGTGATGAATTCGGTGTGATTTGTCACCAATTATGATTTAAATCGAGAGCATCACTTCTTATTCCTCGGAATTAAATTTTTTTTCGTCATTCATTTTCTTAATCGTGTGTTTCTTTTAAAAAAAATCGTTATTAAAGGGACATTTATTTAGATATACAAGTAAATCATCATGTAGAAACAAGTAAATACGAAACGGTAGAAATTGATGTCATTCTAAATGAATTTTTAAATGTAAATCTAAATGTAGTGAAAATTATCAACACTTTACACAAGCACCTAACATTCAAAGTGAAATTTGTTCAAAGATTTTGCACAATTATACGAAATGAAAACCAGCGGGAAAGAACACACAAAATAACAACGATCACAGTTCGCAGTTGAAGCAAATCGTCGAATTAAAAGTTTTTACACTCATCGCTACTTTTTCGTAATTCGATGTACTGTCAATTTTTGTGTTTTCTTTCTCTCTATCTCTTTCTCCTTCGTTTCATTTCGTTTCTCTCGTGTAAAGTGAGGACGTATAGAAAGTGAACAATCTCTTTGCGACAGGATGGCAGATCATAGAATGCAAAAACATTTACACATACATATTTAACAGAGTCTACCTTTAACTATTATATTTAAATTTAGTACACTTGAAGCTCGAAGCGAATTTATTATGACTTGGAAGAAGAAGAAGAAGAAGAAGAAAACACAGCATAACTAGAAAATATTATTATTCGCATGTTAGTTGTAGTGCATTCGAAGTACAGTTTTGAAGCAGAAAAAGAATCTTGTTTTTAAGAGGAGAAAACGTCTATTGTATGAAGAGTTAAATTTCAATTTTTCCAGCAATTGAGAAATTCACTGAGGCTAATCACTTCAATTATTATCACTGTCTTCATTTCCCAAAGATATTTTTTTAAATATTTATTCGGAGTTTTTTTTATTGATGATATTTTCTTTTTTTTTATATTTGAAATAAAATTTATTTGGACTGATTTAATTTTGAAATCATTATGATTGGCGTTATTTATATTAAGATTCAAAGGATTTGTTCGTTCATTTGGTCAATTGAAAATTGATAAGCAAAATAAAAAGTGACTACAATAATTTAAAGAAATGGAAATGAATCGCAAAAAATGGGACAGATGTAAAAGCAATTAAATTGAAACAAAGCAAATAAAAAACAAAAACACTCACTAAAATTATATTAAATTATTATTGCATTGAATTTATGAATATTTATAGGGATAATTGAATATATGTGATGAATTCATATAATGAAAAAATTATTGTGTTGATTCTGTGTCGATTGTTGGAAATTCGCTGTGAAATGTGCGAAATCACAATTTCACCGAAGAAAAAAAAAAACTTTAAACAAATATTTCTTATGATGCCAAAAAAAATTCTCATCTCTCTCGCGTGCGATACACAATTCGTATGTAGAAAATAGAAGAGAAAATATGCCAACAACAACAACAATAACAAAAAAAAAAGACATTTACATAATAGTAATTAATTTTTAAGATGCAAACTGAAAGCGTATTAGAAAAAATTCGAAGAATCGACTGATAAGGAAAAGAAAAGGCGCGGACATATCGCAACATTTTTCGAACTATTCTCGATCGAAAACATTTTCCCGACATGTTTAGCTCTCAGACTAAGTAACTTACACACGCATGCATAATGAGACGAATCTCTCTGTGTACAAACACAATCATCATAAACTTCATAAAATTGAGAAGAAAAAAAGTTATTATAATGATATTTTAGTGCCAAAGTTGCGTACATGACATAGTGATACCATTTCGAACGGATTGAATCGATTTCGCAGGCATACAAATGAAAAATAACATAATATATCGAGAACATAAAAGAAAAACATTCAACTGCATCAGCAATAAATATGGTCAATAATTTGCAAAATCGTATCGAACCGATTCAAATAATTAAACGTGCAAAATGAAAGAAAAAAAAAACTAATTAAACAAAAAAAAAAAAACATTGCATATGCAACACAGGTAGAAACATAAACATATGAACATATTTTCAGGAGACTTATTGATCTATATCTATATACAACACATGTATACATATACATTTGATTTAAACAAAAAAAAAAATAGTTCATATTTATTACAAAAACATGATGGAAAAAAACAATGTCACTGGTCGAAATACATTTGAATGTAAACAAATTTGTTATTTGAAATGGCGAAGGAGAAAATAAATGCATCTCTTTCGGCAATGGCCGACCGAATGTTAGTTTGTCTGGTTGAAACTTGCGGTTCGAATTGATGCGCTGCCCTCCCATCATACAACAACTACTTTTATTGCTACACCGAGAGAGAAAGATAGAGAGAGATAGAGATAGCAATGGATTGGTTTGCCCGGCTTCGTTAGATGGCACTGGACAGTACAAAAAAAACAGCAACCAAAAATTATGCAACCTTTGGCATAGAAAGTGCATGCACCATTTTCATTTGACTTCATTCGATTTGCACACTTTGAAGCACTTTCGCAATCAATAACACCATGTGCTGCACCAAGTCTTTTTCATTGTTTTCAAATAAATGGTTGCGATTTCCAATCCATTGCTGCTAATGATAATGATCAATTGAACATGCAGCACCGCAAAAAATTTCCAATTCAATTTCTCTTCATCGTGCACGAACAGTGTCCAAGATCGAAACGCATCAATAAATTTTCGGCATCAATTTACATCTCGAAATAAGTTTCTTTGCCCTCATCCACACACACATACACAAATGCACACACCAATCGAACCATTTGAGAAAATTATTTTATTTCATTTGTATTCACCACAATGATATTCGATTTCACGAACAGAGCAGCAATATAATAAAATGGCAAACAACAAAGAAATACAAATCAGACGTGAATTTACTATAATACTTTTATATGAATTAAATTCTAGTTATATAAAATCAATATATACACCTATCTACTCGAGAGATTTATTCGAAGATCAACAATTCTGTATGTGTAAATAACATGATTTAAGTTAATCTAAAAGAACAAACAAAAAAAAACATCGCAAAATGCAATTACTTAGTTTTCTCAAAATTTAAATTAAACTTCTAAAGAAGCGGCGAGGAGAGAGATCGAACTAATTAAAAACAACAACAACAACAAAAACAGTTAAAGAACTAGCAATAATGAAATTAACAATAATTATGAAATGAAGACCGACAATGGGTAATTTAAAAGAAAACAGATGACTAAATAAATGGATATTGTAATTTTTAGAATTATTTTAGATATTCTTATTTAATGTCCACAAGAAAAAGAAAAAGAAATGATGAAGCAAAATAATTTAATAAAACTGAAAATTCTGTAAATAAAAATGTTGTGTGGTAATCGAGTAGTAGTTGTATTTTTAATTTAAATAAAATGAAATGGAAATGAGATGGAATTTGTCGAAAGGTGTGTTTCGTGTACATGAATCTCCTGTACATTCCAATGCGGGAGATTGCCTAGAACAATAACAAAAATCCAGTTAAAAGTAAATATCCTTCCAATTTCATCTCGTTATTGGTAGTCGCCATTTTGGCTACTGAGCTATATTTTTGTGGCACTGAAATACTTTTACGTCGAATTCAAACCCAAATTCCAAGGAGACTCATCTAACCTTTCATTCAATATCCAATGATACCAAAATCATCTTGATAGCAATGTCTTTTAAATAGACAAAATGAATTTGAATCAATTTCATTTCACTTTGAATAGCAAAAAAAAAATAACAACGGAAATGAATTATCAAAATTATTTGAAATATCGTTCAATCATCGATGTTATCGTAAATTTGAGCATGTGATTTTTGGCGCTTAAATACCAAATATCATATCGAATGTACGGAACATATCACTCCTATGATCAAGTTTGAGCTTAGTTCTGCTCAGTATACACCACATACAAATCACTCACACACAACCTATCAATTGAAAAAAAAGAAGAAAATGTGTCGAATCACAAAGAAAAATTAAGGCAAACACGTAAACAACACAATCATATTAATAGAAATCTTCGAGAAAAAAAAAGACGTGAACAGAAAGTCTAAAGGAACATTTTACATATTTAATATGGAAAGCAATAATTACATGGTTAATGTGCTTTATTAGTAATTATTCAATAAATTCTTTTAAGTACTTGGAGCCGAGTGAGGTCAAAATTACAATAAAAAAAAGCAAGCAACATTTTATGATTATACAAAAACTACAATAAAACAAAGATGAAGAAATCGCATTGAATGTTGATAATCATATAAATGACAAATTTAAACTTAATTTTTTTTGTGTAGTCTTCAAAGTTAATTCATCTATATTTCACACAAAATTTCCACTAACACGTACACACAATCGTTTTCCTGTGCTTCGCCATGGGATAACCGAAGGAAAATGCAATCAGTCAATATTCGTCTAAATTATTAAGCAAACTAGGTTAAATTGTGAGCTTTAAACAACAACAACAACAACAAAAATATATATATTATTTTTATAGTTTCTTCTCACAATTGTGTCAAAGTGTTTACAATAACAATATTAAGAAACTAAAACAGAATACAAACACTCATATTATTTACATAAAACATATTACAATGGTGGTAATTGTATAACGTATTGTAATTAATCATTGGATTTATCATTGTAGGCAATTAGACAAGTGGTTGAAATAATTTAAATGAAAAAGACAAGCATAGTTTTAGGTGATAACATGAAGAAAAAAAAAACTAG